AGAGAGAAAGCCATCAGGTCTGGGACTTGAACCATGGTTGGCCATGTGGGAGTGTCCAGTGCCTCAACTACCATGCCACCTGCTGGCCCTCAATTATTTCTTTTCTTCTATTACTTCTGGAGGATTTTGTTGTTTTTGTTGTTGTTCCTTTTCCAGTTCCTTGAGATGCCTTGCTAGGTTATTTATTTGCCATAGGGCATATGTGCTTGCCAGAGAGAGAGAGAGACAGAAAGACTGACAGACAAATACAAAGAGAGAGAAAGTGTGAAATCAACCCCAGGGAGGATGACCATGCCACAACCCCTTCTCCTCTATTCTCCTCTTAGTATTCTGGGCACATGTGCATATATATGCCACTGGGCCTGGAATTCAAACAGCACTTGGCTATGGTGGGAGTCCAGTGTCTTAACCACCATACCACCTGCTGACCCCCTACTGACTTGCCATCTTTCTATTTTTTTCTCATGAGTACAAATTGCTATAAACTTACCTCTTAGGCCTGCTTTAAATGTATCCCAGATTCTGGAGCATTGTGCTTTTGTTATTATTTGTTTCAAGAAATTTTCAATTTTGTTATTGTTTCAGTAGTTTCAAAGTCATTAAGGAGTAAATTGTTTACTTTTCATGTAACTGTATTTTCAAATGCTTTTTCTTTTGTTAATTTCAAATGTAACTCCATTGTCCAAAAAGATGCTAGATATGATTCCTATACTTTTAAGTCTGTGAAGACTTGTTCTGTGACTTATAATGTGGTCTATTTGTGAAAATATTCCATGTGGGGCTGAGAAAAATGTATATTTTGTAGTCATTAGGTAAAATGTCTGTCAGATACATTTGGCCTATGGTATCATTTAGCTCCAGTATCTATGTTGTGTCTTGATGAGTCCAGTGGTGAGAGTAGAGTGTTGAAATCTCTAACAATTATCTCAGTTGTTCTCTTTCTTTTAGATCTAATGGTTTTTGTTTTACATATTTAAGTGCTCTAATATTGAGTGTAAATATTTGTAATTATTATATGTTCTTGGTGAATCCATCCTTTAATAGTATATGGTGACCTTTCTTTGTCTCATTTATAGTTTTTAGCTTAAAGTCTATTTTTGACTGGTATCAATGTTGTGACTCCACTTTTTTCTTTTCTTTTCTTTTTTTTTTTTTAAATGTGTTTCTATTTGCATGAAATGACTTTTTCCAGATGCTCACTTTCAATGTATGTATATCTATATCAATGAGGTATGTTTCTTGTGAGCAATGTAGAGAAAGCTAGCTGACTCCTTGTAGAGAAGGCTAGCTGACTCCTTTTTAAAAATCCATTTGGTTGGGGACCAGCATATGGTGCGGTGGTTAAGGTGCTGGACACTCCCACATGGCCGACCATGGTTCAAGTCCCGGACCTGGTGGCTTGCTTTCCCACTTTTTCTTTCTATCTCTGTCTCTCTTTGGTCAAATTAAAATAAAGGAATGAATAAATAAAATTAAATAAATAATTCTTTTAAAAAAAGCCATTTGGTCAATCTGTGTCTTTTCATTGAAGAACTTAATCTATTAATATTCAATGTTATTATTGTTATGTGTGGACTTATCCCTACCATTTTGTTAGTTATTTTCCTAGTTGTTTTGTGTTTTCTTGTTTCTATTTTTCTTTTTCATTTTCTGGATGTAGTACTTTCTTAAGTATTTCTCGAAAAACTGGCCTAATGTTTGTGAATTCTTGAGATTATTTACCTGGAAATTATTTTCTCCTTCAAACTTGAGTGATAATCTTGATGATATAGTATCCTTGGCTGAAATTGTTTTTCTTTCATAACTTTGAATATGTTGCCATCCCTCTTTACCTGTATGGTTTCTGCTGAGATGTCTGAGATTTGTCTGATGGAGTATCCTTTATAAGTAATTTGATGCTACTCTCTTGCCATTTTTAGAACATTATCTATTTTGACTTTTGCTATTTTGGAATGATGTGCCAGGAGGAGGATCTTTGTATGTTGATTATATTTGGTGTCCTGAATTATATTTGGTGTCCTGATTATATTTGCTATATCTGAATCAATGTATATCTCTCTAAATATGGAAAGTTTTCAGGTAGCATTTAATCTCTTTGTCTTCTGAATACCCATTAAATATATATATTCAGCTGCTTAATAGTGTCTAAAATTTCCCATATGTTATTTTCATGTTTAATGTTTTTTTTTTCATTCTTTTCTGGCAGTTTACACTAAATCAGAGGTTTTGTCTTTATTCTTGGAGATTCTTTCTTCTGTGTGTACTAATTTGTTGTTAACACTTTTCATTTACTGTAGTGTATTCTTTATCTCCAGAAATTCTGTTTGATTCTTTTTTAGAGTGTCTATTTTTTTATAGAGCTCCTCCTTTATGTCATAGAACTAATTGTGTTTTCTCTTCTATCTCATTGAGTTTTGTTATAATCAATATTTTGAATTTCTTTTCCAGTATTTCAGTGATTTCTTGTATATTATCCATTGTTGGTGAGGAGCTGTTGTGTACCTTTGGGGGAGAGATATTTCCTTGTTTTTTCATATTCTTATATATCTTCAATAATTTTTAGGTGTCTGGTGGAGTATTCCTTTCTTTTATTAAATTTCAAAACAATTTAACATTTATTACAATCAAATCAGATGCAATAATTAACATAATATAGGAAAACTAGCAAAATTACTTTATTATCATTCCCAACAATTTGAAATAAAAATTTCCATGATTTTCAATTAAATTGTACATCATTTTCCTTTTGAAGGTCCCTTTTTTTCATCAAAATAATTCCTAAACTATTCTATGTGTTTGACCTTCTGTTTAACATGTAGATACAGGATTTTGGAAAGGCTACAAGTCATCAGCTCCATGAAGTGGCAAATTGGCCCTTGTTTTGGAAAATCCTCTAGGTATTTATCCAGGAATACATGTTCATAAAATTCTGAACTATAATCATCAAAACCTTCTCCATTGTTAATTGGAAACTCCCACAATTTCCCCTCTTCTGGCCACTTGGCCATCTCTTCAAACCCATTCTGAAAAGCAGTTCATTGACTCTGGCTGACTGCTTAGCAAATTCCACATCCTGAAGTGAAGGTAATGTCTCTGATCCAGGTACTGCTTCAGTAATTGCCTTAGTGTGACAAATATTAAGTCTCCCCCTGAATGTATTTTTTCTAAGGCCTTTTCAGTGGACTTCTTCTGGCCAAATCACTCTCCAATCCTTCATCAAACTGAATCTGGTGCTCTGGTCTTGTACTAACTCTAGCTGTAGCTGATCTGGCAACATTTGTATCTGATATTATGTTTCTGAAACTAATTTTAGATCTCTTGCCATCTACCTTCCCTGTTGTCCATCACCACTCTCAGCCTCTGGCAACCATCATTCTACTTTTTGCTTCTTTTACTTTGGTTGTTTTAGATTCCACATATAAATGACAACTTGCATTATTTCTTTCTGTGACTGGCTTATCTCACTTAGCCTAATGTTCTCCAATTCTATCCATGCTGTTGCGGATGAAAAATGTATTTATTTTCTAACTCTGAATAGTATTCCATTGTGTACATATTCCACCTTTTCTTTATCCCTTACTCTGTTGATTAACACTTCGGATGATTTGAAAGCTCGGCCATTGTGACTAGTGCTCTAATAAACAGGGAGCATAGACATCTCTAAGATATACTGATTCTAATTCCTTCAAATATATACCCTGAAGTGGAGTTGTTGGATCATATAGTAATTCTATTTTTAGTATCTGTAGGGGCCTCCATACCATTTCTGATATGGATAATTTGCATTCCCAGTAACAGTACACCAGGATCCCCCTTTTTCTATATCCTTTCTAACATTTATGTATGTATTTATAAATAACAGCTATTCTGACAGATGTGAAGTAATAGCTCATTGCAGTTTTAATTTTCATACACTTAATAATCAGTGATGTTGAGCACATTTTTATATATCTGTTTCTCTGTAATTTATTTGTAAGGACCTATGATATTCTTGTGTTCATTTTTACTTTTAGCATTATTTTCCTCCAAATATCCCCATATAGTTCTTTGATAGTAGGACCTCACTTGTTTATTTTAGGAAACAAAGGAAGGAAACTATTTATGTGCCTCCCACAAGAAGAGAGGGAAAGACTCGGGTGGTGCCGGGCAACTGCCATGGGAATCAGAAAACAGAATTAGAGGGACCAGCAGTTAGTGTACTGGCTATGTCGCTGAACTCCCGCGTAGGCGACTGCGGTTCGAGTCCCGGACCCGGCGGCTTAAAACTCACACCAGGCACGTGTGCGTGCGTGCCCAAGATCCCGAGAGGAGAATGGAGGAGAAGGGATTGCGGCGTGGCCATCCCCCCTGGGGGGTGATTTCTCAGTTTCTGTCTCTCTGTCTCTGTCTGTCTGGTGCGCGCACGCGCCCTATAGCAAAAACCTCTCAAAAAAAAAAAAAAAAAAGAAAACAGAATTAGAGACAGAGTTAGTAAATGAGAGTGAGAAATACTCACTAGGTCAGTATATGAAAGTGGGCCATATATATATTTTTTTAATTAAAAATTTTTTATATCACATTTAATCACATATACCTTTACAGTGTATTACATTTCTTTTTCCAGTATGATTACCAGACATATCTGTCAAGACAAAGACATTACTATCCACATCATTATCCTCAAATAGCTTTTCATTTTTTCCAGATGATTATTATTTATTATCATTATTATTTTTTAAACATTCCGTAACTATATATCATTTGACTTGTAAAGAGAACTTACCCAACATGAAATACTTTTCAGACCAGTCCAATTGAGAATACTATACATGTTATCGTCAACAGGTAATAAACTATTTCTACGTCCCACATATGTCATGCCTCTCTATTTGTTCTCATGCTGTCCTTCTCTATACTCTTCCCTATTCCACCCCCATTCCACACTATCTTCAGCATCCATGACTATTTTCATTAAGCAACTAAATTAGGAAGATTGATCATTTCCACTCTGGGGTGTTTTATTCCAGGTACTCATGGAACCAGAATTTGGGGCCAATGAAACAGTTGTTACTGAGTTCATCCTGCTGGGATTGGTGGAGACACCAGGGCTGCGACCAGTTGTCTTTGTCCTCTTCCTCTTGGCCTACCTGGTCACAGTCGGGGGCAACCTCAGCATCCTGGCAGCCATCTTGGTAGAGCCCAAACTCCACACCCCCATGTACTTCTTCCTAGGGAATCTATCGGTCTTAGATGTTGGTTGTATCAGTGTCACTGTGCCATCGATGTTGAGTCGTCTCTTGTCCCACAAGCAGATAGTTCCCTATGGAGCCTGCCTCACTCAGCTCTTCTTCTTTCATCAGTTGGCTGGAGTGGACTGCTTCCTGTTGACAGCCATGGCCTATGACCGATTCCTGGCCATCTGCCGACCTCTCACCTATAGCACCCGCATGAGCCAGACAGTCCAAAGGATATTGGTGGCTGTGTCTTGGGTCTGTGCCTTCACCAATGCACTGACCCATACTGTAGCCATATCCACACTCAACTTCTGTGGCCCCAACGTGATCAATCACTTCTACTGTGACCTCCCACAGCTCTTTCAGCTCTCCTGCTCCAGCATCCAACTCAATGAGCTTTTGCTCTTTGGTCTGGGTATCCTCATGGCAGGTGCACCTATGATTCTCATTGTTACCTCCTATATCCATGTGGCAGCTGCTGTCCTGAGAATCCGCTCTGCTGAGGGCAGGAAAAAGGCCTTCTCTACATGTGGCTCCCACCTCACTGTTGTGGGCATCTTCTATGGGACAGGCGTCTTCAACTACATGAGGCTGGGTTCAGTGGAGGCCTCTGACAAAGACAAGGGCATTGGCATCCTCAACACTGTCATCAGTCCCATGCTGAACCCACTCATCTACAGCCTTAGAAACCCTGATGTGCAGGGTGCCCTGAGGCGAGTACTCACAGGGAAGCGAGCTCTGGGATGAAGGGTGCTCCAAGAAGGTTAAACCATGGCAAATGATTCCTGTCTCTGCTAAATCCTTGAGCAAGATGACTTTTGTTAGGAAGAGAGATTTTGGTTCTTCAAGGAGGTGATAATTGATAATAAGTGTACAGATTGTTTAGATCAGAACCTTTGGCCTATTGCCCTTTGGTCCTAGGAACCCTATCCAGTCCAGATGAAAGTAGAACCAGAAAGCTGTATATCTTGAAAGGTTTGTGGTCCAATAGGAAGAACCTCTTGTTTACTTTTCTCAGTGTCCCCCAAAGTACCAGCAAAGATTCTCTCCAAATTGAATGTGGAAATTATAGTCTGTTGCCAATTATTAACATATTCTGCAGTTAGGCTTCTCCTAAAAGCAGCTCCCGAATTCTCTGCTCTCACACAGGACCCCTGGCAAGGATTCAGACTTAGCAGAGTATAATTTGAGACACTGATTTCCAGTACTCAGTCTTCATTACAATATTCTAGAGTATTTACAGTGGAGAGTTTATATTTCCTATGAGATTTCTCTTTTTTCCTAAATGAACACATGATGTCAACCTGATACATTTGATTTTGGACTTCTGGTTTCCAGAACTGTGAGGGAATCAATGTCTGTTGTTTTAAACCACTGAGTTTGTACTAATTTGTTATAGTCACCATAAGATAACTAATACAGTGATGCAATCAGGTTTGAGACTAGTATTTTCCTAATAAAGAGATCAAACAAAATTTTAATCACCAAAATCATATATTTTATTCCTAGGGACATCAAGGGCATTTGACCACTATCAAAGATCTCTGTGGGCCAAAATAGCTTATCACTTCAACCCTTCTACTCAACATGGTAAATGCACCAACCTTGCAATTTGCAATTAAGCACAGTCACTTGGTCTTTGCTATTCTGGGATCCCACTACATCCAACTGCAATGAGACAATCTATTTCAATGGTGGTGTCTCCTTCTGTCACTCACTCACCCTATAGAGTCCAGCTACCATGGATGGTTTAAGAATTATTTTTTCTAGTGTACTTCTCAATGCCTTAATGAAAAGAGTATTCTTAAAACTATTCAATAACAAAACTGCTAATTTTGGGGGGAAGACAATAAAAGTTTAAATTTTCCATAAAAAGAAAAAAAAATGGGCAAAGTTCAAGAAACTGAGGCCCAGCAAATGACTCTATGTTTGAATAAAATTTAGATTAAATTTAAAAATGCATCACAAGTCATCAGTAAAATGCAAATAAAAACCACTAGAACACTGGATAATTCACAGCAAACACTTAGCACAGTTCTGGATACATATTGTATTTATTTATGAGCCTGTTTTGTCTTGTTTTGCTATAGGGCATGTGTGCTCACCAGAGAGACAGAAAGCAAGAAATCAGCCCACCAGAGGAAGTGGCCACACCATAATTCCTTCTCCTCCATGATCTTTTTGGGATTTTGGGCATGCATGCATGTATGCCAAGCATGAGTTTCAAGCCACCAGGTCCGGGATTCAAACTGTGGTCAGCCAAGAGGGAATCCAGTGACATGACCATTACGCCATCTGCTGGTCCCTACAAATGTAGCTAATAAACATTATTTATTGGCAAAAAAAGGCAAAGGACTTGCATAGTTATTTATCTAAAGAATACATAAAAATGACCAACAGAGATATGAAAAATGCTCAACATCTCTAAGCATCAGAAAAATGCATATTAAAACCCAATAAGGTATCACCTCACACTTGTTAGATTGGCTACTATCAAAAACAAGGATACAAAAGTAACCCTTGTACATTGTTGATGATACTGTAAATTAGTTCATATATTTCAAAAAACAACATGGAGGTTCCTCAAAAAACTAAAAGTAGAATTATTATATGATCCAGCAATCTCATTTCTGGATATATATATCCCTGAAATTGAAATTGGTATGTTCTAGAGATGTCTGCACTTCCAAGTTCACTGGATACTTACTTATAATAGTCAAGTTAAGGAAACAAAGCACCCATCAATGAGTGTAAGACTTTTCAATATATAGTATATGTATTGTTTTTAATGGCTGAGGGAATCAAGGGAAAAAGAAAGAAGTGAAACATTTATGGGACATAAAAATGGAAAATTATCTCTTGATGATAACGTGTATGGCAATATCTTTGACTGAGCCAATACGCAGTGTATTCATGATGGGAAAATTCATTTGGTATGCTTAATGATACATACTGATTGAATGTAAAAATAGATGAATAAATAAATAAATGGTATATGTACACAGTGGAATACTATTCAGCCCCCCAAAACAGTAAATTCTGTCATTTGTGACATTGATAAACCTAAAGGACATTATTCTAAGTAAAATAATCCAGGCACAGAGAGACAACTATCACATGATCTCACTTACATGTGGAATCTAAAAAGTGTTAAACTCATAGAAGCAGGTAGTAGAGTGTTGGTTACTGGAGGCTGGGAAGGGGGTACAGTGAATGGAGAAAGGGGAGATGTTGGTCAACAGCTATAAAGTTTTTGTTAGGTAAGAAGAATGGATTCTGGTGATCTATTGCACAGTGTGATGACAATTGTTACTAATAATATATACTTCAAAATAACTAAGAAAGATTTTAATATTCTTACCACAAAGACATAAGCATTTGAGGTGATGGATATGTTAGTTACCCTGATCTGATTATTCCACAATGTATACATGTATAAAACATGACACTTCACCTTGTAAATATGTTATTTTTGTCAATTAAAAATAAAATTTAAAATAAATTTTTGCTTAATTTTATATTGATAATCAGACTTTCTATAAATATCCAAGTGCTTTTTATGACATTTCCCTGATCTTTTTCTCATTTTACTGATACCAGGAAATTTTTGGTGAAATAATGCTACCATGGCATTATATGCAAACATCGCTTCTTGCTGTCAAATTTAGCTTTAATTTTAATAATGTCTTTCATTGGTCTAAAAGTCAGTTATACTTTCTAGGGAGGTCTTGATAAAGTGAGCACCTGTTAAATCCATGTTGTAAAAGACAGATTTCTACCACTATCTACAATAATACATGATCATGTAATAAAAAGATCAGTGGGTGAACTGTGGGTTACTTTTCTATGATAAATAAATGATAAATTAAAACTTGGAATATTTTAATGCTAAGTGAAGCAAGCCAGACTATGAAAGAGAGGCACTGTATTTCCCCATTTAATATATACTGAATGTCTGCACTCTATGGTAGAAGCTAAAAGATTGAAAGGCATGAAAGCATGGAGAACAACTGTGAATACTAGAGACAGTGTGCAAAGAGGGTGGACAATGAGGGTTGGAAAGGAGGAAATCAAGGGGAATAAAAAAGCAAAACATTTAGCAAACACAAAAATGGAAAATTATCTGTTGACAATAACATGTATGGTAACATCTCTTGATTGTACTAAAATACAACATATTCATGCTAGAAAAAATAATTTTGTATTCTGTAAAGATGTACACTATTAAATGAAAAAATAAGATAAAAACCCTTTCTCTCCCCTCAAAAATGTATAAATAAGATTAAAAAGTATCCTTAGAATTTTCTCAGGGGATACAGTGCAGATTGGTTACTTTGAACATGAAAACTTGCTCCAATATGCCTAGTTCCCTAAACCTTTGGAATTCTTCCTGTACATAATAAGAAAACTATGACATTATGATCTCATTAAATGGTGGCTATAGTTGTGCAGTCTCCATCCCCAATCTCAATGTGGTAAACCTTCCCAGTCAATATCTTAGCTTTTATGTAACAGTCTTGAAAGTGTATAAATTACTTATGTTGTAACTCTGCAACATAGTATATGTATTGTTTTTAATGGCTGAGGGAATCAAGGGAAAAAGAAAGAAGTGAAACATTTATGGGACATAAAAATGGAAAATTATCTCTTGATGATAACGTGTATGGCAATATCTTTAACTGAACCAATACGCAGTGTATTCATGATGGGAAAATTCATTTGGTATGCTTAATGATACATACTGATTGAATGTAAAAATAGATGAATAAATAAATAAATGGTATATGTACACAGTGGAATACTATTCAGCCCCCCAAAACAGTAAATTCTGTCATTTGTGACATTGATAAACCTAAAGGACATTATTCTAAGTAAAATAATCCAGGCACAGAGAGACAACTATCACATGATCTCACTTACATGTGGAATCTAAAAAGTGTTAAACTCATAGAAGCAGGTAGTAGAGTGTTGGTTACTGGAGGCTGGGAAGGGGGTACAGTGAATGGAGAAAGGGGAGATGTTGGTCAACAGCTATAAAGTTTTTGTTAGGTAAGAAGAATGGATTCTGGTGATCTATTGCACAGTGTGATGACAATTGTTACTAATAATATATACTTCAAAATAACTAAGAAAGATTTTAATATTCTTACCACAAAGACATAAGCATTTGAGGTGATGGATATGTTAGTTACCCTGATCTGATTATTCCACAATGTATACATGTATAAAACATGACACTTCACCTTGTAAATATGTTATTTTTGTCAATTAAAAATAAAATTTAAAATAAATTTTTGCTTAATTTTATATTGATAATCAGACTTTCTATAAATATCCAAGTGCTTTTTATGACATTTCCCTGATCTTTTTCTCATTTTACTGATACCAGGAAATTTTTGGTGAAATAATGCTACCATGGCATTATATGCAAACATCGCTTCTTGCTGTCAAATTTAGCTTTAATTTTAATAATGTCTTTCATTGGTCTAAAAGTCAGTTATACTTTCTAGGGAGGTCTTGATAAAGTGAGCACCTGTTAAATCCATGTTGTAAAAGACAGATTTCTACCACTATCTACAATAATACATGATCATGTAATAAAAAGATCAGTGGGTGAACTGTGGGTTACTTTTCTATGATAAATAAATGATAAATTAAAACTTGGAATATTTTAATGCTAAGTGAAGCAAGCCAGACTATGAAAGAGAGGCACTGTATTTCCCCATTTAATATATACTGAATGTCTG